TCACAGGAATTACCAAATAGTCTTTATTAATAACAAAGATTATTCTAAAGTAAAAAAAAAAGAAGAGAAAAAGTAAAAAAAAAGAACTTGAGCTAATTTTCACTTTATTTGGATTTAGTTCTTACATATACATAGATATACATACAGATATATGTACAGAANCCTACCTGTGGTCATCAACCTATATAACGCCTCCCTCAAGTGATTCAGATATATGTACAGAAGAGCTATATGTGTATATATATTTTATCTCTTTTTATTCTTATTTTTTATCTTATTATATTGTATAGTTGGATGTGTGTATATATCATGTAAAACTGTAACTAGAGCGTGTAACAAAAGCAATTTCCCTCTGGGATTATTAAAGTATTTCTGATTCTGATTCTGATTCTGATTTGTGTAATGAAAACCTCATAATAGAAATGCATCAGTAACAACCTTAAACAAGCAGATGTTTCTGCTCACCAATCTGAAAAGAGTTAAAAAATATACATATTTGACCTGGCAATTATTTATAACAACTGCCAATCTTCCCAAGAAAAAAACAAATCACTTTCAGCCTTTATTAATAGGTAAAACCCTTAAGGTTCATTTCCTTTCGAATGTGATATGCAGTGCATTTTATATCCACATGGTGTCAGCGTCCAGTTTCATTTCACACATTTGAGCTTCTTTTTGTTACATTAGTCACATTTTATCAGTGTAGCTCAACAGGTTTTTTAAGTAATCTCCAGGCTGCTTAAGGTCTCTTTAGGATAAAAAAAAAAAAAAAAAAACAGGGGTTAATTTTACTTTGCAGAAATGTTAGAAGCACCGTAATTCTTTAATCATAAACAAAGGAAGTAAAATCCTAAATATTGAAAGATATTTTATTATTTATTGATTGATAGTACAAATCAGTTCTTTTAAAGCCACTTCAAATCTTCATGTGATACACATGTTCCTGAGTTGTAGATACATGCTTAAATTAGGACCTTTTTGGAGGTTCTGAGATCCATGATTAAAATCAAGCTTAGCTCAAACCGTAGGAAATGTTAATAAGATCTTATCTTAAACATAGAGTCACGTAAAAAAAAAAATACCTTTCACTAGTCCCCATCCATAACTCACTTCTAAATCAGGCAAAGTGCAGTGAGATCCAGGCAATACTGAATTATTCAAATCTACTTTTTCTGCTTTATTGGTCTTTTCAAGTATGCCAAACATTTTTTTTATTATTTTAATGGAGAAATGTTTCTTCCTAAGCTTTCCAAAATAAAATTGTGAATTTTCCATGTTTCCATGTGGTAAAATTTTACCTGCACTACAATTTATAAAATGTAAGTCAAATGGATGTAAATAATTCTGTCTGACCTGAACTTTATGACTTGTTTAACTGTATAAGCATATTATGTGAATACATATTTCCTTGTTTTGCTTTTTGTTTTTTAATTCATGAAGAGACAAGAACAATATATGGTGGTAACACACTTTCACAGAATTTGAGTTGGTCCCAATTATTCAGCTATATTAAAAAGGAAACTAAAAGATAGTAGACAATCTACTATTGTATTTTTGACGTACGCCTAACCTAATTTCCTGAAAGTCAGACTGGACTGAGAGCCCAGCTCACCTGTGAATACAGAGCAACAGCCTTTATTTAACATGGGTTTTAAAATGTAATTCTTATAAGTAAAAATTAACAAAGCATTAATAGAATGAAAGAAAATGTTTTTTTATTACATCGAGCACCTACGTCCCTGAGCCTTCACCCAGGATACCAGGTAAGGCTGTAACCAGAGAACACAGTCCGTTGGGATTGTGTCCAGAATTTAAATAAACAGATGGTTACCTAAGCATAGTTTCCTATAAGAAGAAAAACATGCAAGAAGATCAATTAATTTTCCTATGATATTTCGATTTTACAAATACTGCCAAGCTGAAATGAAAAGAACAAACATACATTATATTTTTTTCATATATGAGAAATTATAGTTCTCATATATGAAAAAATAGAATAATTAATTATTGGGCTGGTGCAGATAGGAAATAAAGGAATTTCAGATTTTTGCATACTGTATGTATATGTTTTTGCCTAATTATATGTTTACTGGGATCAACCCAACAAAACTCTCATTAAAAACTGATTAACTTTAGAAAAACTAAGCTTACATTTTCAAAATCATCATAACAAAATCTCTTCTTAGTATTGTTGTTATTATGGAACACTTGAGTCATTATCACCTTAGATGTGTTAAAGAATTTTGGTTATTTTTTGTTTAAACATCTACATGTCATGGGTGTTTCTTAAAGTTTCCCAACATGTTTTCTGCTTAAAAATACTAAATGTCAGCACTTTAATAAAGGACAACCATGATCCTCTGAGTTAACCTTTAGTGGAAGCAAATTAACTGAGCAAGCACAAAGGTGGAACTTGTATTCACGTTTTTCTTGCTTATTTTTGAGTAACAAAAGCTGAACATAGAGAAAGAGAATATTAAAAAAAACTGCAAAACATAAAATGTTTCTTTCTTTTTTCAGTGTTCCGGGTACTAATATTTGACTGACCGAATCAGCATTTAGTTTCTATGCTCCACAACTCTGGAGCAAACTGTCTAAAAACTTAATATGTGCAGTAAAAATGTTGGTCCCTTTATATCAGGATTAAAAATAGGTTTGTGTTTATGAGCAGCTCTTAATTAAACATTTAGACTAAGAACAACTTTGAAAGATCTCAACTTGTATATCTGTATTTAAGAATCACTCACTCTATTTTCTGTCTGTCATCAGGTACATGTCCTACAAGGTAAGGCACTTTTCAAGATAAAAATCATAGTGTCCTTTAACACAGAAAGAATATAAAAAAGAGACACAAAGATAAAATTAATCAAAAGCTGATTTAAAAAAAAAAAAAACATGTCTAGCTGAAATGTAAAGGAAGTGTGCTGATCTTAGCATCAGAGAAAGGAAATTCCAGAGTTTTGGAGCTGCAGAGGAAAATGTGTTGTTTCCTTTCATTTTCAGTGGCCTATTGGGGGCAATCGGCAGATCTTTATCACAGGACTTCAGGGCAAACATGGGGTATAAAGACGTAAAAGAGTAAAGATGTGTTCTGGTGTCTGTTTATGCAGACTCCTTATGCTCTTAAAGGCAACAGTAAGATATTGGCACGTACTTGATAATCAACCATTAATGAAGGTGCATAAGCAGCAGAACCACCTGCAAAAACTTTAAAGTTCTGGGCAGGAGCTTAGCAGCAGCATTCTGTACAGACTGCAGTCTGTTTAAGCACGTTTTGGTAGGACTTTTGGACCACGCATATTACAATAATCCAGATGAAAACAAACAAACATGAACTAAAATTTCCAACTTGGACAAAAAGACTAAGTTTGGAAAAGTTTGTCAGATTGCTACAGGATCAAAACGGATATCTGTTGACATGTTCAGACATAAACCAAGATTTCTAACAGAAGTATTGATCCTGCACCCAATGCAATCAAAGTATTTCAGAGTGCCTTATGGGTGTTGTATAAATCAATCTTTGTTTCCTCTTGTCCAGAAAAAAAGAGTCTTGGCCAAACCAAACATTTACCTATGTAGGTTTTTCTTCGGCAAAATACGTTAGAAAATATCTATGCAGAGTCACAAATCAACTTTACATTTAGTAGTAGTGTATTTTATTTAACCAGGGACAACTCATTGAAATCAAAATCTGTTTTTTTAAGAATGACTGTAACAAGACACTCTCACAAAACATACATGGAGCAAGATGAAATACAGAGACTCAGGAAAAAAAAAAACCTCTAGATGCTAATCATGTCTCCATTACTGCTACATTTTATCTCTGTTTATAATTTTATAAAACAACATACAGACAATGTCTGGGACTGATGAAGTTGGGGAGAAGTTATTAGAAGTGTGTTCTTCAAGTAAAATAAATTTTTATATCCTTTAACCAAGTCTCTAATCATCTGGTTAGCCAGCTTAGAGCTTCTTTAGTGCTTTCTACACACTATGCTAAATTATAACATAATTGCATCTTGTCCACCAGCTGGGATTAGACTGGGAAATTTTACACGGTCCTCTGCATTGTATTCCCTGCTGGTAAAATGTAATCCATTATAATCTTCAGATACTAATTTTTTGGTCTGTTATAAATAGATGTTCTTATAAATAAAGGCATATAAAAACATTTAACTAGTACAACATTTAGGTCATTTTGTCTATGCCAAACAAACGACCCCAGCCCCTTTTTGTCTCCTAGTTACACCTGTGTTTAACCTTTGTTTTTTTAAGTTCTCTTTGCAGTAGTTTTATTTGGTTACACTTTGTGAATTCCTGTTTATCTGAGGGTATCTGTATCTGTGGTTCTCAAATTCATCAAATTATATCTTCCACAATCACAACTTGTTCAAATGTATTTTTGAGTCTATCCTGGATAATTACTCACTTACAAAACAAGATGTGAAGCTGATCTGACATAAAATAAGATTTTCTCATGAGTTCTAACAGTTATATTGACATGAAATAACAGGAATAGGGGTGGTTACACATCTTAAAGCCAAACAAAGATGTGTCTTACTGGTTGAACTAGTTGGGATCTGCCCTCATAAAGTGCTGGAGCAATATCTGTATATATTATCTGTTCCATATCAGGTTTCAACAGTCAAGAACTAACCACTTACTGTTCACCTCATTCTGCTAAATTGCCTATTTTGCATACCCAAATGGAAAATCAAATAACTGAGGAACTGTAAGCCTAAATTACATGTGTGATGTGTTATTTGAAAGCTAAGACCTTCTAGTTTCTGAATACATACATGAAAATTGGGTGAGTAAAACACCCAAGCTGCATTAAGCCCAAGCTGCATCAGTTCAAACATGACTCAAAGCAGTTTTTTTCATTCTTGAAAATAAAAAGTATTTTTTGAACAGCAGTTATAAAGACATGCTTGCTTGTTGTGGCTGCTTTGTCGTGCTTTGGTGCTCTCCATGTCCATAAAATGAACTAGGTAGTGGAATTGTGGAGAATCTAAGCTTTCCAATGATGTCTAACATGTCTATATTGGTAAACATTTTACCAGTGTATTTTCATGCATTCTGAGTTATTATATGTAATGCTTTTGGGGTTTTGAGAGGATAAGCTTTTTTGTTTTTGTTTATAACCTGCAAGATTCATATCAAGATTGCTTTTTTTATTACTTTAAATCTTATAATCATATTCTTCAGTTGTAAGGGCCAAAAGAATCTGTATGTTTTTCATTTTTCAACATCACCCAGCAGTTTTTAAACACATATGCACTTTCAGCTGAGAGTTTCCAGTATGTAATCTTAGACTTTGGATTACTCAAGACTCGTCATAGATGTGCCACAAGGCGGATCAGGTCTGCTCTAGTTCTGCATCATTATTTCTTCTCCGGCTTGAGTCATATCATTTTGAACTGAAGGCAAGCCAAGGCGGGGCAGGTTTATTTGAGCAACACCTTTTAGTAACAAGGCAATTTCAAGTAATACACATTAACAAAAAAAAAAGAAAGAGAAAAAAGAAACATTACATGAAAAATACATTGCATTGACATAAAGTGTTATATGTATGTCACTTGCCTGCAGTCTTTCTTTTTACAGTTTGTTTTTAAATCTCTCCCATGGTTTCTCTTCTCTTTAATTGTCTGAATTTTGAGGTTTTTTATGTGCATGGCAGTTTTTTAAGATCATTAATTCAGCTTTTATTGAATGTTACAAAGACAATAACTAAACGCTATGGATTTTTAGATGGTTGCAGGTTTTCACATTCTGGAACCATCTACCCTAAACCTCTATGCCATTACCAATTGGCCATTTTTTTTTAAAAAGAAACTGAAGATGTATTTGTGGAGAGAGGTTACATTTCTTATGAATTTATTGTTAGGACCCTTGCTCTCCTCATTTTAAAACCCTATAAATCTATAAATAAAATAACATAAAATATATAAATACTATATTCTGATTTTAACCCAAACAGAAAAAAAGTAACAACAGGTACAGTGATATTAAGGTTAAATGGGAACAATGGGTAATTTTCCTAGTCAAAGAGCATAAATATAAAATGTTGTACTAATTTTGCTTTAATCTAATTTCATTTGTCTCCTACATTTTTAACCTATCAGCAGTGCGGACCTGGTCTTTTAATGTCTCTCCAAATGCTCACACGATCTTCATATCCGTGAACTGTGGTGGCGATTACCTTGGAGTAATCACATCGATTGTATATGAGAGGAAATACGTGGAAGCTGAACTCATTTGGGGGGTCTACTGGACGGATACCCAGGTGGTACATACACAAGCCTAAATATGCGTCTTCGATATAAAAAGCTTTCACATATTGGGAAGCTTCAACCAGCTTTTTGGTGAGATCCAAAGACAAAATGTAACCCAGACCCAAAGCGTAAGGAGGATAAACAGGATCACTGAGAATGCTCATGGGCACATACCATTTGGAACTGGGATCCCTCAAGACCTGTGCTTCATATACCACTAAGCCGGTCATGTAGTTTGTCCTTGGAGCATTTTGGAGCATGGTGACAAGATTAGGAACATTCAGAAAAATGTCAGAATCGATTTTCATAGTGTACGCAGCGCTGGAGCAGAAAGAGTTCAGCCACTCCAGCATCACCATGGTCTTTATGGTCAGGTTTTTGTAGCAGTCCACAAAGTCGCTCTGAATGAGGTCATGATGGTCTTTGCTCTCCTGCACAAGCTGCTGATGGACCTGCTCTGCATCACTTTCAGTCTGCTTCCCCAGCAAGAAGAACAAGGTCACTGCTTTACCATCAATCATCTTCTCGCTCCCCCAGGTGCTTCTGATGACATCACGGTGTGCTCGATTATGTGGCGCTACTGGTACCATAAGAACCACAAATGACTTCTCCTGCTCACATTTTTGAGGCTCGTTTATGGTAAAGTGGTACTCATAGGGATACTCTACCAAGTACGGTCCACGAGTCACATAAGGAGCCGCTGTCTGCCAGGCAGCTTTGGCTTTTAGGATCCTCTCTGTTAACCATGATGGAAGTTGTGGATGTCTGGCTGTGGTGGCATCTTGTGCCAATCCAATAGAAGCACCAGCAGCTTTCCCCTTAGATCTGGAACTATTTGTTTTACTTTGCATACTAAAAGGGATGAAAAGTTTTGTTGAATGACTTTGCATCCACTGTTTGGGGTTCCATTCAGGCGACATGCCCCTCATATTAGTGAAGTAGAAAAAAAGCATAACTCCAAAAACAAGAGAGAGGAACAGGCTGTGGCGCCCTGAGAAGCCCAGACATCTCCTGGTTTCTGCAGGTCTGTCGCCATTCTCAATTTTCTGGCTAAAAAAAGAGATAAAAGTCATAAAACAGCCAGAAAAAAATATAATTTTTTTTATTTCTTTTAGAAAATTAATAGAGTTTTTACTTTTATTTTCTTCATGTTATTCATTAAAATTTTCACAAGGCTTCTTTATTCACAGTTATGCAGAGAAAATAGAAAAATCCTTCAGAGAGACTCATACCTTTGACCATTCATAGCAGATTGCTGCTCCAACCTGCTGCCGCAGCCCAAGCTTTAAGTCTGGGTTTTAATTTGTGTCCGTTTGTTGAAGGAAATGTTGCTTTGTTGAAAAAAATCATGACACAGCTTCAACATCCTGTTTTGGTCAAGTGTGAGGATCAAATGTTCATAAGAAAAGAAAAGGTTTGATTAAAAAAATAAAATAAAAAAGGACTCTTAGACATTCGCTCTGCAGCTCTTATGTGTCCTGTTCAGGTAACAATGCGGTTATTCTGATCTCGGCTGCAGGACTGAAGCCGCACCTTTGTTTGCTCCACCTCTTTTAAAATGCTGAGAAAAAAAAACACTATCATCCCTGGTGGCCTTTTGTGCTAAGTGTGACACTCAGCTATATTTAAGGGGAAAGAAGGAGTAGGAAATGTATCATTTGCAGCTGATGTTTTGCTACTGATTCACAATGACTCTGCACCAATACATTTAAAGACAACACATTTGCATTTAACGTAACTCATGTTCTGTTTTTTATTTTCCAGTACCTATGATACAAGCTTCATTTAATTTAATGTATATAAGTAGAATTGACTTGTGTTTCTGCAAATGTTTGGTTGTTCTGCTGTTTTCAAATGACAGTGCGGAGACAAGTGTTCAGGTATTTGGTGTTTTGGGTGGCTCACATGCAGCCGGTTGGACCCTAAACATTTCCAGACCTGTTATGAAAGGAATTCCTTGTCTTTGTATAAGCTATGATTTCTTTTAAGACATGCAACACGATAAGCTTCAGGCTTCAGACTACATCAGTAATGATGTAATAACAGACTTTCAACTGCTCTTCTTCAGGAGGAGCACAGCTGTGGGGCTTTTGACGAGTAGTTTCAGTTTGTTTAATAAGTTCTGCAGTGCCAATCTGAGGGTAATCTATTCACAGTGGTGTTAAAAATACACACAATTGTTGCTTAAGTAGAAGTATAAATACTGCAGAAGTATCCACTTGACCTCTTTACTCAAGTAAAAGTGAAAAAGTATGTGCTCCAAAAACTTCTTAAAGTATAAAAGTATTAATTAACCTTAAAAAAAAAAAAAAAGCCAGATGCCACTATATGAATTGAAAGCTCGATTTTTCAGCTATTTCGAAAAATTCTTTGAGATAGGGCCAAGTATGATGGAGGTCTTGTTGGTCTCCTTCTCCATCTCCTGATTTGCTCTCGCCTGTGTCTAATCTTTCAGACATTTCAACATCTTTTTCTGAATCAGACATTGTAGCATGGCGTAGACAATTCACAATTGCAGTTTGAAGAACACCTGCTTACTTCTGAAGATTTCCTTTAGCTAACAAATGAGTGTTTGCATTATATGACTCATCCAATTACACTAGTTTTCACTAGATGTGGATGGAGCCAATGATCTGCATTGGATGGAGCACATGACGTGAAATAAATATTTATAAACATTAAACCGAAGCCAAGAGTAATGAGTAATGTTTGTTTTAAAAATGTAAGGAATAGAAAGTACAGATACTTGTTTGAAAATGTAATGAGTAGAAGTCGAAAGTAGTAGGAAAAATAAGTAATGGAGTAAAGTATAGATACCTAAAAAGTGTACTTAAGTACAGTTACAAAGTATTTGTACTTCGTTACTTGTCACATCTGTCTATTCAAACTATGCTGCCAACAGAAAATACTACATTGGAGCTTCCTTAGGTTTTATTTTCTCTTTTGTTCTCACAGCTTGCTCTTTTCTTTGTGATATTAGTTCCACTTTTGTCCAGCTTGATGTGGGACTTCTTGGAAATATGGTTGTGGGAATGTTTTTAGTCTAATTTTGTCCTAATTATGACATTCTTTCTCCATTTTGTGACATATTGAAACTCTGTAATCTCTTGTGAAATCTATTCCTAGTTATCTTCCTTTTTTGGAGCTTTAGATAATTATTTTAAGCGACTTTGTTTCATTTTATTTTTATGCACAATAGAAACACCAGCTGACCTAAATCTGTGGTATGTCCACATATTCTTAAGAGGAAAAACAATGGAAAAAACTATATTTAGAAAAGAAGATCTTACACACATTTAGCATATTTCTTTACATTTATGAAGGGATTTACTGGAAAAAAAATATAAACAAAACTTTAAATACTATTTTGAAACATAAATATTTAATTACCCAAAGTCATTTTGTCATGAAAAATGTATATAACAGTTCTCGTTCCAATCCTTTGAAACTATTTAGTGTAGCTCAAATTCTGGCATTTATGACTTAATGTTCAACAGTTTAACCCTAAAGCTCAGCTCATTATGTCTTCAACAACATTAACTATGTGTTAGACTTGACTACAGGCCAGCATTATTTCTAAGTGTATTTACATTCTGGAGAGCCCCTTTTAAAAGCCTGATTATAGCAACATGCTAATAGCAGTCTGACCGCAGCCACCATTACGCCCTGCTAAGGTGTTGCATGAGTCATTCACTCACGGACAAAGTGTTTGTCCAGTCAGGGTATTATTACATCTCTGAGAAAAACTGGTTTCATCCCACTCCCCTCCCAAGTTTTCACACAGCAATGACGTTTTTCAAAGGTCTGAAGATCCGGTTTAACGGACAGAGGTGGCTCTGACCAACTCCAAAGACTCAAACATGGACAAAGCTCCGTTCTGAAGATAATAGCAACTGTTACTCTTCAAATCCTCTTTTTTTCTCCCTTTTTTATTATGGTGAGGCACAAAGCTATTAAAATTTCTTCCTGTTAAAGGTTTTTCTGATTTTACTGTGTTTTTTGTCAGATTATCAAGAGATTTTCTTCTATCAGAAAAATATTACTTCAGTAAATATATGAAAATACAATTTCTAAATGAAGATTTTATTGATCGATAATGAAAAGTTCTCAAACCCATGCCGGAAATAGTCATTTCAGCCTGAACATACGTTGGAACTTGATGTGGATCTTTTGGGGACAACAACTACACCAAGGTGTTTGATATGGTATAAGGGTATTTATACTGTTGGTCTTGCATAGGTGCAATGGCTCATTTCGGGGACAGAATCAATCCAGGGGGGAAAACAGGATGAAAGTTTCTTCTGTTACTTTGCAAAATTTTCACAACTCCATGTTTTTCCATGATACTTTCAAACCAGAACGGTTCTATTTAATTGATTTCTAGTCTGGTAGTAATGAATGCGAATGAAAAACTTGAGGTTAATTAAAAATAACTCTCAGAGAAAACACATTTTCTCATAGCATCAGGCTATTTACAAACAGTTTTCACTTTTAGAACTGAAATCCACATTTCAAAACAGTTTTTTTTATTTAAGTAGTTTATCCTTATCTGACATAGATTTATTTGATGATCTGAAACATTCAAGTATCCAAGAAGAGCAAAAACAGAAGAAATCTATAAGGATATCATGTTTGTTTTTTTTCAATGGGGTCTAATAAATTTAAGTTTCTTACATAGGAGATAAAGTCACTACCAGTAATTCATCTGAAAAGTGTTACTTTTATATAATAACCTGAATTGTTTGTTTCTGCCAAGGGGAGTTAAGGTATAGTTGAATCTTACTTGATAATAAATAATACAACAAAACTATTTAGATATTAATCTTTTTCATCCTGGAGACTTATTTGATACTTATTTAATCTTTACTGCTCAGAAATACAATCACAAGTTGCTTTTTTAAGCCATCCTTTTAAATTGAACAACTGAAGGATTCAGTTTTACCTTCAGCCTAAAATTTGCATTAAATCTGTCTAGGTTGCCTGATGTTCATTTATTGGCGTATGTGTTGTACATATGACAATGGTTTAAAATTTTCATAAATTTGAATACACTAGCTCTGTGTGTCACACTGTCCTATGTGATAAGGGCAGCTGCTGCAGAACCAGTATAACATTAGGAACACCTGAAATTCATCCTGCTCCAAAACTACAATCTCCACCCAGTCTTCCACAGAGGAAACTTCTGCTTAAGATAATAATAAAATGTTTTTTCTCCAGAAGGAACCTGTGGAGAAATAAAACAAAAACCGAGCAAATTCAATGGAGTATAATTAATGGTTGCAACAAGGCAAGATCTGTTTGCTGTTCTGACAAAAAACAAACACTGTGGTAAAGAAAAAGGGTTTTCATCCAAGCAAGTGTCCTCCAATGACCTGTTTCACAAAGCATGTTTAAAAAAAACTCAAATCTTCACATCTGAATTGATCTAGTCTCAGGTTGAAAGCTCTGAGATTTCCGTTTCATAAGAGCAGCTGTTAGTTAGTTTAATCAACTCTAAGTAGATCCACTCAGAGTTGAGCACATGTATAACAAGTATGAAATAAGTATGAAAAGCTATTATCAGTGGACCACTGACAACGGGCAACAGAAAGTGCAGAGACAGAGCAACAGCGCTACAACTGCCAAGATTGTTGGTTTGGTTAATCTTTGTTAGGAACAGGGACTGGACACAGAATTCAAACCAGCTACAGGTCAGTGATGTTTGAAACAAGCTTTATTTTAAAATAACTCAGCTCGCTCCAAAGCAGGAAACCTCCTGTGACAGAGTAAACAGGTTAGTGATCAGCTGATTGTAACAAATTAATACAACTTACGAACAGTAACAATAGGAACATGGATCCAGAATGTTTATTTTTGACATGAAGAATGTCAATTTGTTTGCAAAGTTCATTTTGACAAGAAAACAAATGTATTTCAGATATCAAGAACACCTATTAAGACCATCTTTAAATATCAAAATGGCTTGCCAGACTATTTTAACCACAATGAAAACTAGTTTACTGATTGAATGGTGGTGCATCAATCTATTTTATATTTAGATGAAATGTTACGGGCAAGAAGTGCACCTGTCATTTTATGGTTTCCTCATTTTATTTCTGTCTTCCATTACACAGTAAATAATTATAGCTATCTGACTGTGCAGTCTTTTTTTATACTGCTGCTATCATATATTAATTACTTATAAATAACTGTTGTTAAATCCCTTTTAAAGAAGTAGTTGCTGCAAATAGGAGGATGGATGAGGTTGTAGATGTATGTGCTGGGTTTTCAGTTGGTAAAGATACCTTATTGTCAAAGGACATCTATACAAAGTCTGAGAGCCCTCTCCCTATAAATATTTAATTATCTATAAATTGATGACACTTATACTTTAATTGGATCCTTGTCAAAGGGAGAATAAATGTTTTTATTTTGACACCTAATGTGTCTAATGGACCTATATGAACAATTTTCTTTATATGTATGCACAAAACTAAGACAAAACGCTCCTGACTAAATTAGGAAATAAAACAATGTGATTGGCTGTAAGGAGGGCGGAAACAGAGGACACTGAGTTTATTGAGGAAAACCTGCTCCTGACCAGGTTAGCTCTAGGTTGAGCGAACTCTCTTTGTGCAACGGAAAACTCTGAGTTTCCCCGATTTCAGGTTTAAAAAACGTTGAGTTTTCAGTAAACCTGCTTTTGGAAATGAACACCTGATGTTGAAAAAAATAAAAAGCGATTATCTTTCTGCTTTACATTAAGAGGATTTAAAAAACAAGCTGTAAATTTAGGTTTACACTTCAGCCCATTTCTTCATCAGTAAACATAAACAGACTCATTAATGAGGAAATAGAGTAGAATAAAATATGATAGAATAGTACAATAGGCAAATACAGATATGACGATGGCAAAGCAAATGAAAATTAAATCATACATGTACAGATAAGACAAAATATATATCTAATAGAAGAAAAAAATGATAAAATCAAATTTACAGCCATAAAACAATAACATACTCAGACATAAAAAAACAACTCCCCAATAAGTTTTAAAAGCCAGAAAGAAAAGATCTACAACACTTTTGAAAGAGATTAGAAAAGGCCCTGTGGGGATGAATGCATTATTTACAACAACAGAGCATTCAGGACCAGAAACACAGACACAGTAGTAACGGTTTAAAAGTTCTCCTTCAGGCAGTCGAATGGCCTCCGGCTTCCTCTCAGCTTGCCTACTAATTTCAGCCACTGCTGGGAGTGTCAGTGCTGACTGTAATTCCACCCATAGGCATCGCAGCTGGTTTACACTCTAGCAGCTTATGGGTGCTGCCTCACTGACGTCATCGCTGGGGATTACATTACCCCACGGACCTGTCGGTTACCAGGGAAGGACCTTCCAAGGACCCATCATGGAACCAGGGGAACTTTTAAACCACTTCTACTGTATGAGTCTTCACCTGGTTGTTAGTACTGACAAGAGTAAAAGGTCAGTTATACTAAGAGAACAAAGAGGCATGAAGGGCTGTGAAAGCTCAGACATATAGAGCAGGGTGAGGCCATTTAGGGACTTTATGCTTAAAATCCTCCTAATGCATCCTAGAATAAGTAGACAGCAGGTGAATTGAGCTTAAATCCCAGCCTAAGCTGCTGCTAACAAACAAGTAAGAACGCAGCAGCATTGTTTCATCTGCAGATGTGCAGCAGTTTTTGCCACCGCCTGCAGAAAACAAATGAAAGGCTCACTCACACCCTAATTTTACAATAATAGAGCCACGTGGTCACACAGCCATAGACATCTGTCTCCATCGGCTTTTTCTTTCGTTTTATGGGTAAGGCAAAGTTCTCCTTCAGCAGCAGGTGTGCTGCATGTGCTGCACTGAAACTGAAATCTCTGGCTTATTGTGTACTGTACACATCTGCTCTCTCTCATTTTGTACAGCTTTCAGACAGTGAATGAGCAGCAGCTTAACAGTGAAATTAACATTTCCATTTCATAAAGTGCAGCAGTGATCAAATGGAAACAGTATGGGAGAAAAAAAACATGGTGCAAAAACGCATTGATACGGAAGTTCAGAGTATTATTGAAAGGACACCATTCAAAAAGTCAACTAATTCATTTAGATAAATAAAGGCTTTGCTATTATATTATTTTTAGGGAATAGAGGCATTTCCTTCAAATATTCCAAAAATCCAAACTTGTTCAATCTTTGTAATTATTCTGTTGTCTTGAACTTTCAAGACAAACATGCTAACTGAGGCCTGTAGGATCCCAGATGCAGCGCCTGAGTTCTTTGAACTGTTTCTAAGAATAAGATAGTCTAGTTGACATGCATATCCAATCAGAGGAGGATTTTTATCACAGATATTCTACTTGTAAACAATTTCTCCCTCGATTTGTAAGCTGTGCTATGACCCTTCCAGAAAAACAGAGGTGGGTACATCTGCAGACTGTATGTGGGAGTTGTAAAGGTTTAGATATTTTTTCTAAACAAAAATGTACTTGTTTGTTCTCTTTGCCTTTTTTTTTCCTTCCGTTTCTTTAATTTTGCCCCTTTTTACTTATCTAGCTTGTACAAAGAGCCTTATAAATAGTAGGCATATTTGTTGGTTAGGTGTGTGGCTCAGTAGCCATGGGATGGGAATAATCACAAAGGAAGAGAATGAGTGTTCCTGTAGGAGCCATAAATGAAAAGATGCGTTAATTTTCGCTTGTCTGAGTTTATAGCTGTTATGGTTTTGTCTTTATTTGTTGGTTTGGTTGTTTCTTTGTAGGGGAATGGTTCAATTAGATTTGGGAGGAATTTTGTAATTGGTCATATTACTCACCAGTGGGAGTGTCACTGGTAGTTATTGGGTGAGTGGGCCACTGTATTTTTTGATGACCGCAATACGAATCGCTGTAATCTACGTTTGACAAGTTATATTTTGGATACATTGTTTATACCTTTGATGTGAATTAAGTTCACATAAGCACCATATTGACCTCAGCAGATTCCTTTTTTGAACGTTCGCATCAGACAATTTACGGTCCGACCTCAGCTTCTTAGCAGCTTTTTTTCTTTCCTTACGGAAATTTGGTTAACATAATAATACGTCATTTCAGGGTAATTGAGGTTTTTACATTATAACAAAAATTATAACTAAATGCTCATAAATAATTTCAAATATTTTTTTCAATCACATCATTCTAATGATTACACCTGATGTCAGGGGTTGCATTATCCAAATATTTTACATGTTTTACAGTTTTTTTCTTGGTTTTTGGCTGAATAATGAGCTGTTTCAACCAGTTGTCCCACTGCTCAGTCCTTGCTGGATCAGGGAACCATTCATCTTGCCTTATGACATATGACTTATAATCACCCCGTTGGCTAAAATTTTCCTAGAATTTAAAACTCTGGCTAAAGTCCACTAGTTATTCCAGCTTCTAGTGCGGCAACAGAGCAGGGATAATCTTTAGATCAACGTTAATAACAGTGACCAGAATTCGTCTGTCCAAGGCAACACATTGTGAGAATAGCCTTTATGTGAATCCAACTTGACATTTAATTATGCACAGTTGGGTTTTCAATTCCTGTTAATGCAGAGCAGGAGGAAGCTGTGAGACTATGGCTCCTTCTGAATACCTCAAATAATAGCTTCTGCCTCCTCTTACTGGCTCCCATCCTTTTATCTTTTATGAGATCAACAGTAAGAACAATATCCAGGGTGGGAATACAGCTCTAGAATGCTATGCTCTATCCAGACAGCCTTGAGACATCAGTATGCCACCAACACCGAATAAAAATGGTGAAATGGGACTAAAGCATGCTGGGAAATAACTACCAAAAACGAAAGTGACAGAAATGTAACGAACGGTTGAAAGTCTTCATTATAAAACTGAGATCATACGTAGGCGTGAACATTTTCATAAGTCACATAGAGTATATGTCATGAAATAAAATATTTTTGTTAATACGCTCATAGATCCTTTCATGCGAAGGATTGTGGACAGCAGTATAGCTCCTAGCAGTGCATTGGAATGTTAGGATGTCCGATTCTCCCTGAACTGGTGATAGGAAGCAAACTACTTCTTCTTCTACCTAATTCCTTCCTTACAGTCACCACTCTTCAAATAGTACTTATCACGGCGACTGATAATGTGCTTCTGCTTTGCTTGAGTGTCTAATTTGCATTATTCAGAAGAAGCCTATGCTTCAGGTTACAGAAGGTAATTTTTTTTGTTGTTGCTTTGTTTTGTTTTTTTAGTCCAATTGTTTCATTTTGTTATACATATATTTATATTGGTACTGGATCCACAGTCAGCATTTTTTTTTTGTCATTACAAGGAAAAAGCTACACATATTTATCAGGTTGAATTGGAAATTCTGTTCAGCCTGTTTCTCTGCATGTTAATTTAATGCATGTAGAGATATATTATTAATATAATAAAAAATAAAGTGATGGGATGACAGATTTTTTTTCTCTCTTGTCTGTCTCTAAATCTGTCTGATATAAAAACTTTTTATTTTAATTGTCTGGATTTTACTAGCTCAATGCCCCCACCCCAATCTAAAACAAATTGAAACATCAAAGATCTTCTTACTTTGTTCACACTTTGAAATTCTTCTTCTATGTTATTAAGTCTTTGTTGCGCTAAATAAGTAATTATAGATTCTGATAAGATATGTTTTTTTTGTTGTTTTACTAATTTTCAAGGCTGCTCTTTTGAAAAGATGAAATTGTCTAGAGAGCGGTTCCAAACAAAATTTCTATTTGTTTTACACTTGTGTAAACTAAATGACAGATAAAATGTCTAAGTCTAATTTTTACTTGAAGCATGATACAAAAAAAATGAAATTTGAAGAAGGGTTTAATTTCATTCTATCACAACTGTATTCTTTATGATTCTTATCTTGCGGTAAATTAAGTTAATAACTGCTGAACAACACAATAATTCAACCAATTTAGTGCGGTCCGTCCCTCATCTGTTGTTGGACGTAGTGACGTAGCTGGGTGACGTAGTGCAGGGCGTGCCGCGTCATATCTTCCAACACATCCGCCGCTCGGTGGCCGGCTCCCAGCCGCCTCAGGCCCCGCTCCTCCCTAATCCGTTATCCGCTAATCACCATCACCGTCCCCCGGTGGAAACAAACGCGGCTCCGCTTCGGCTGCGAGCGGAAGGAGCCGCTAAAACCTTCCCATCCTCACCAGGAGAACCGGGACTTTCTTCTTCTTTTTTTTTATTATAGCTTGGTGAGTGTTTTTAGCGACTTCAAGTGCGGTTTATTGAGTTTAAAAGGTCCCATACAGGAAATAATGTAAACGCTGAACTGAGTTGGTTTTGTTTCTCAGCTTCAGCTTGATGTTTTTTTGTATCCGTCAATTCAAAGAGCTTTTACCAACAGTTATTTTCTACCATGGGATGGAAATGCAGAGATTTATTTCCTTTTGGGATAGTTTCTATCCGGATATCCTGGATTTATCCACCAACAAATGACTGACATGCTATCCAAAATCACCCTGTTTAAATGCATCTGTCCATTTCGCTCCTTCTATTCACCCAGAAACATTGAAAAGTTTTTAAATCACAGCTATTCATTAATCCATTCATTTATTCATTCATACCCATTGAAGGTGCTATATTGTTGGTAGAGCCACAAACTTCAGTGTTTTACTTTGGTTTTATATAATAGGTCAGACTAGATAGTGAGAATCTGTAGACACCATTTTTATTTTAATTCATTTTCTCAGTTAGATTTAGGTCTTTACTTTGACTAGACCATTCTAACAGATTCAGTGCTTTGATTTAAACCATTCCATTATAACTTTTTTTTTTTTTTTGCTGTGAGGAACTTCCACCTCATTCTGAAATTTTCTGCAGCATCCAAGCAAGTCATCTTCCAGGATTGACCTGTATTTAACTCCACTAATTTTTACATCAACTTTGAGAACAACAAAAAAGGAAACCCAGTCATAATGCTTCCAGACACAAAAATAATTTGTTTGCAGGCCACCTGTAATTCATTTGTACTGTTAATTGCCATTATTCCTAAAACAACTTCGAATGTGAAGACAAACTATGTTGAACGGGTAACAAAAGTCATTAGTGATGTTTGTACTGTTTCTTTAAACAGGTTTAGATGAGGTGAAGCCTGAGGCGCGGCAGCTGTGGTGATGGTGTTGGACTCAGGTGAAGTCTTCATGGATCAGGTCGATGGTGAAAACACCAGGGATAGTTTGGAGCGAGATGTCCGTCCAGATCCCACAAAAACTGACAGACCTCAAGCCAAACGGAGCAGTGCCACCAAGAGGGAGAAGGTGTCGCAGAACGGGATGCCTAGCCTGACGGGTGGGGGGCAGGGGGTGGAGAGGAGAGCCAGGGCACCGCTCCATCGCCCCCTCAGTATGGAGGTGACACCGCAGCGTCTGAGAGGGTCCCAGGAAGTGGCTGACCGGAGGGTCCAGCAGCCCCCCTGGCGCAGTGGATCAGCCGCTCCCTCGCCGCCGACGCGCAGCCTTACAAGCCCAAGCCTTAAAGCGGGCGGTTGGATGCGGCGCAGTGAAAGCACCTGCTCTGTCAACTACCCCTTGGGTCTGCGGGCTGGCAGGGGGCAGATGCGACCCGCTACCTCCCTGCCTCACATAGCTAAAGGATCAGTGGGGTCTGCGCTTAGCTCGCCAGCCCGTCCTTGTCTGCTAGTCGCCCTGAGACCTCTGAACCTGGAGCAGGAGAAACAGACGTTTTTCCAGTCCGACTACAAGTACGAGCCTCAGTTTGAGTACGCCCAACCAGAGCCAAGGAGCGTGCTGGACAAATACAGAGAGGGTTCAGGCCTCTTCCTGGAGCAGGTGGGTAAAGATCTCACCTTTAATCCCTGCCTTAGAGTCCAGTTGATGATTGTGTTTGTCTCTGATTGTCCACAGGCGGTGGGAATCATGGAGTGCGTCCTTAGGAAGTTTGGCACTTATGAGAACTTTGAGGAGGTGACAGGTGGCAACGTTCTGCCGAAGAGCCAGGTCTGGGCTGCGGTACGCAAATACCTGCAAAAGGAGGGCTGTGTTGGGGAGGTGAGTTCAGCTAGATGACGCTAAATCTGGAGGATGTTTTAAAAATCTGCCTGCTTTTTTTATTGTCTGCTTTAAATCTTCCTGTTCAGACTTTTTTATATTCTTTAATTGTTATTAATTAGCATTGTGCAATTTTAACAGACTGTTATGAATATATTAAATGAGTAGAACTTCCAGTTCTACTCATTTTTTTTTCTACTCAGTTCTAGATAATTAATAGGTCATTCAAATAGGGTAAAACCAAGTAATGATTATTATTTAAATAACTGTAACTGTAAATTCCTTATTCACCAGGGTTCTTAATCTTTTATGTAAAGGATGGACTGGAGCGGCTGTTAAAATCCAGTTGCCTTCATCAATTCAGTAAACTATGGCTATCAGTGGAGTTGATAATCACTGCATGGATTAACCACAAAAGACCGCTGGTTAAAACAATGGTAACTATCAGCTAATAATCAAACTCAATTTTATTGTATCCAATAAGTACGCAAACACTAAACTCCATTGAAAATAAGTATAAGAAAATAAAACAAATAAAAAGGGGAAATGGTTTTAAGAGTCTGTTCAAAAGTCTCTGAGGAATAATTAAGTTTTAAGGCTAAAAGCATTCAAGGTTTCCTTTAACGTAGCTGCAGAAAAATGTGAATAACCCTGACGCAGATATTTAAAATGCAATCAAACAGTGAAAAATCAAAAATGACTCAGGAATACATTAAAGGTATAGTAGAGAATTTTCTTTTTCCCAGTGGATCATGAAATAAGTTGTCCTCCTAATTGTCAATCATTCTGGTAATATGTTTACATAAGGTCGTCCTACGTGCTCGTCCCCATTTTCACTTACTGGTGGTGAATGTGACATAGCGGAAAAATTGCATATCTTCTTTTAGAAAGTAAGCTTGTATGAGTGATGCAAACAGCAACTTTTAAACAGAGAGTACATGAGGAGAAATGGGCAGGTGCATGCCCTCGCACGTGTAATAGGCCTTCCACAGAATGGGTTAGTTCAGCTGGCCCCTGGCGGTCCAGCTGAACTGGTGTCCGGGGCTGAGCACAAGGTTAGAGGACTCATAAAATGGCTGTTACCATGAAGTAGCTTGGAGCTAACAATGCAAGCCAGTCCAACCGTAGAGCTTAACTCTTCAAACAAATGGAAACAGAGAATTAAGCAGACAGTAAAGGCCAGAACACACCGAATTAGATTTTGCGACCGATCTAACAGAAAATCGTGTTTGACGAGGGGGTGGCGTTTAGCGCTCTTTGATGGCGTTTAGCTCTGACTGAGATGGAACCCAGGTCTATTTTAGTTGGACTACGCAGCAATTCAGGGGCAATTTAATGGGTCTAATGTGAAGTGCACGGGTCAACAGTCAGTTTTGGAGTCAAGCTGGACAGAGAAAAAAAAAAAGAAACATTAAACAAAAAAATTATACTTTACCCATGATAGGAGATCAGGAGGATAGAAAACGGATAGAGTAGTAATCCAATTTGAACATAGCAAAAAAAAAACTGTGTTCAATCTGGTTTGAAACACAGGAAAAACAAGACACTACATTCAGCTCCATGTGAATCATAGACAGGATGCAGTCTGATTCGGCAGCAAAACATAGACTCTTCTCTAAAGGGGATTTGGTGGCTACGATGTAACCTCAGCTGAAAACCACAGTGTGTCTCCCCCATCAAGGCCCAAGAGCCACAGGCAAGAGTTTGTGGTGTTGGAGTCGGCTGCTTTAGCAAACTCTGTCGCAACTGTGTCACACAGGCGGGGAATCGCTCTCGCAAACGTCATTTACTTTTGATCCTTAACATTACAAATATTAAAATAAGGGATGATGGAACAAAATCCGTTACAGTTTCTGAACATAAATAAATCCTGACCAACCCACATATGGTCAAACATTAAAACTACTTGGTAAGGAAATAAAAAGCATTTTAAATTTATAGTTGTAATATGTCTTGGTGCTAATTTAATGCCAAAGTATTTATTTAAACCATCCATTTTCTTACACGCTTGTGCTGGTGCCTATCTCCAGCTGTCAATGAGCGAGAGGTCGCCAGTCCAACACAGAGACACACAACCATTCACACACATACTCACACCTAAGGACAATTTAGAGAAGCCAATCAACCTAACAGTCATGTTTTTGGACTGTGGGAGGAAGCCAGAGTACCTGGAGAGAACCCACGCATGCTCAGCGAGAACATGCAAACTCCATGCAGAAAGACCCCGGACCGGGAATCAAACCCAGAACCTTCTTGCTGCAAGGCAGCAGGGCTACCCACTGCGCCACTGAGCAGCCCCTTATTTAAACCAGAAATCTGTAAAGATATAAATTTGTTCTATGTTCCCTGATGTTCAGTCTTAATCCTGCTACAGTAACGCTAGATATTCCTTAACAATCAGGGAAGCTTTTCTATTTTTTTTTTCTTCTGTTTATTCAATATGTTCCAGCTTTAGAAACTGTGTTTTATTGTAAGGTTTATGTTGTAAGTCTAGCAAAATCCAGATTATGCCATTACCACTACAAAGCGTGGCTGCGTGACACAAGGTGTCCCTTAATGAGCTAATCGTTTCATCCTGGTCTAGGATGAGTCCAGGAATGAGTCAGTCTCTGCTCTGTTTAGTTACAACCACAAACAACACCAAGTAGAACATGAACTACAGAAATGGATCCTTATCACATTTTCTATCAAATGGAAATTAGAGGATTTTCATCTCTCTGTGTTCATGCCTCCATACAGTAAAACTGTAGAACCACTTTTAATGCATAAGTATCACCTAATTTGCATAAAAGTGACAGAGCCCTTAAACAGCTCATTTTAAAAGGAGCTCAAAATAGACAACTGAGAAGGTGAAATCCTATTGTCTGAAAGTAATATTGTGCAAAAGATTAATGAACATGTTAAAAAATGTACAATAGAGCATGTTAAAATGACTGGAAAGTGCTTCTCTGTGCTTTTCTTTGAATAAAATCCTAATCAAACCGAGCTGAGGTAAGTTTGTGGATGCAAGCTGACAAAAACTCAAACATGTTCTAACCTCGCTGCACTTGCCACTGCACGCTCTTAGCTTTCTTAAACCGCTCCATTAATCTAAGCTCTCTGAAACAGGATATTTGGACATTTCTCTGAAAGCCTTTTATTTGTTTGCATGGTTAAATCCAGGTCATGTGTAAATCCTTTGGTGTTGAGTTTAAAAGGATATAAATGTGCTTTCTGTGTAATATGCCTCCATTGAGGTACAGCGTCTCCTTTATCTGAGGTGTTTGAGTTAAAGTCTGATCCAATAACGTGGAGCAGTCTGTAACCCAAGCCTGTGTAGCATCTTGCAGAGCTGGATTAGCTGCTGCAGGTGTGTATAGCTCTCTGTCTGTGTTTTCAGGTGGTGGTGCGTCTCTCTGACGAGCTGCTGTCGCAGGCAGTCATGGTGGTGGAGAGCTGCCGTCCCACTCTGACCATTAACCTGGCCGGGGCTCGTCAGCACTGGCTGGAGGGGATGCTGAGGCATGAGATCGGTGAGCTGCAGTTCCACAGATACCAGACCATAGCTGTCATGACTGATCTGGCCACACAGCTGAAAGGTCCAAACCAGACGCTCTGAATCATTGTTAATCACTGCAGATATGGAAACTACATACAGAGAGCGAAGTGAGCCCAAACTGGTTCCAGGATACTGATGTATCACTTTAAAGCAGCTCAGCAGTTTTCTAAGGAACCATTAATTCATATGAAAGTTGATAGCTTTGAAAATAAATCAGAACCTGTAGGAGTAAACAGCAGCCTGTCCAATTTTCCCCTGTGTGTTGAGACGTTCAGGAAAGGAAGAAAACAAGGAGATCAGGTCAGAAAACAAAGGGAGGAAAGGAAAGCGGGGGCTCTGTTCTGTTGCCTTGCCCTTAAATAACTGCCATTAAAGTCGGGGCGCTCGTCCAATCATAATAAGGAACATTTTTGGCCTTAAAAATATCTGGAGATTTACCTTAAAATATTATAATATATCATCCTCCTGTATATATTCAAACTGTCTTTTTAGGGGGGGAGAACATCTGATCTATATTTTTTTTTTAATTAAAATAATAGCATAACTAATATAAAGAAAATTAACAGAAGGTTTCTATTCATTCCAAAAAGAAAACAAGAAATATACCAACCGTCTTTGAAACAATGACCTTGGCAGCCAGTTATGGTTGAATGATCCAGATGGTGGAAGTTCTGTTTGGTTCCACCGGGAGGAAGGAAAGGGCAGAGGTCAGGGAAGTGAGGTAGGGAGAAGGCAAGAACTGCAGTTGGCCGATTACTTGTAATGCAGGATTTCTATTTACTTTGGGTTCAGTAATGTATTTTTAATTGCACTGAGAATTTATCCTTATATATTTTAAACTAGAAATCTAGCTTGTTTGATAGCATCTGTTTCTGTACAAACTGATTTAATAAAATAATTCCTGTTAAAAGCTGATATTTTTTCAAAAGTTGCCATACAGCAAATATGCAGTTCCTTTGATCTTCGTTGGACAGTTACAGTTTACAGATTGCAGTTAAACGAGTAAAAAAAAAAATGCTGCTCTATTTTGTTGACATTTATGGATGTGCCAAAACCTCTTTGCAGGTCTGCATTAAAGCTTATAAATATGTTTCATTAGAAATCAAATTTACATAAATGATTTCTCTGTAACTCAAAAAAGACTGAAGGCTCTCCAACTTATAAGAAGGCTAAGATAATAACAAACCACCCTGATACGCCATGTTTTATCTGTCTTTGAGTTTTGAACCCTGCCTCGTTTGCATTTTGTGATCCTTTGCTATTGTTGTGTTGCTGTAAGGCAGAAGTGTATGAGAGGAAAAAAGGCAAGGAGGCAAGGATGGAACTGAGGCAGGAAAAGTAAAATAAGAGATACAGAGAACTGAACAAGGGTGGCAGAAGAAGATAACATGAGAGGGAAAGAGAAGGAAAATTAATTAATGAAAAGGTGAGGAATGAAGGATGAAAGGAAGGGACAGAGGAAAGGAGAAGTTGGATGAAAAGGAAAGAAATGTAAGGGAGGGAAAGAAAATGAAGGGAAAGAAGTGAAGGTAGAAGGGGTTTGGAAAGAGGGGAGATACTGGAAGAACTATGAAGGGGAGAAAAGGAGGGTTTAGAAAAGAAAGAATAGAGTGGGTCAGTGGAGGAATCAAAGGGGAAGGATGGAAAGAGGTGAAGTAATATAGTGTTTTTTAGTTTTTTGTACATTTAAAGCATAATTTTTAGGATCTGTGGGAAATTAGCTGCAGCATCTCCCTGCTTCTCCTCAGGCACACATTACCTGCGAGGAGTGAACAACAACCTGCAGCCGTGGGCCTCCTCCGAAGGCAGGAAGCAGTTCGGTCTGAAACCGGCTAACCCCACAGAGGAGGGCCTGGCCAGCCTGCACAGCGTTCTGCTAAGGAAGCAGCCGTACCTGTGGCGAGCTGCGTTGCTCTACTACACAGTGTACCATGCCTCCAGTATGAGCTTCAGCCAGCTCTTCAGCCACATATCACGCTTTGTCCAAAACCCGGACGTCCGCTGGGAGTACTGTCTACGAGCCAAGAGGGGACAGACGGACACCTCTCAGCCTGGTGAGCACACTTAGGTTTATATTTTTGCCCTTATTGGATCAATTATTAACTGTCCATGAAGAGATTATTATTATTATTATTATTATTATTATTATTATTATTATTATTATTATTATTATTATTATTATCATGTCTTTAGCTGCTAGAAGATGCTTTATTTGTAAACTTGTTTGCAGCTTTATCGACTCATCAAGACATGAGTTTTGATTTTATAGAGATAGACCTCCCTTAAAGTGCTTGTGACTTCCTTTCCTCATAGCAAATACAGTTACTCATACTGTTGAAATAAATGCTACACAGCTGAAATATTTCAGTCACTATCATTGGATAGCAGAGCAGACGTTTAGGGCGCAGCTTTGTAAGCGTTGGAGCCGTATTAGAGCAGCGTGGAGGAGCAGCACATGTAACAGATGATTTTTAAGACTTTTAGGAAACACTACTTGATTTGTAATTTTTTTTCAACCTTTCAGTGATGCATTTATTTCAGCATGCCATATGCTTTGAATTTTCATCATTCTAATGTGTTTTTATTAATTTAGTTCTATAATAAAACGCATGAAAGTGGAGTTTTATCTTTAAAATAAAAATCTTAATTCTTAAGCAGGTATATCTACTTGCTATGTTCAGAAAATATAAAAGCATGAATCAGCTAAACAATTTTAGACATTAGTATAATGCAGACCATGAGCAGAACTGGTTTCCTGTTGTTTATTAGAAATAAAATGAACATGACTGGCCTTTGGAACTGATCTCTTATTCTGATTATAGTTATTTCAGATTTCTATTATTAACAAGAAGCACTGGAATGCTTTATCTGTCTTGAGACAGAAATGGCTGGAGAAGTTTTGTCAGAAGGCTTGATATTTTACAAATCCTCAGATCACAACAGGCTGTGCTTGCTCAGACCAGTCCAGCTGGCTCTGCTCGGTTTTACAGCTCCGTTCAAGCAGTGCTAATTCTCTTCACTCCAAATGAAAAACTGTAAACTGATGTCAAGTGTCACAATATTACTGCAACCAAGCACAAATGTGTTGTTTTACCAAATTAAGTTTGTTTTTGAGCAACCTACTGTCTACTTTAACTGTTCATACATTACGCTGGTACAATGCATGTGCCCTGACGTTGTCTATTTTGGGTCAAAAGTTTATTTTATTCTGTCTTTATTCTGTAACAATGTCTTGGTTTGGTATATTAATATTCTTCAAATTATTATTTTTTGATGGAAAAGTGTGCCATAGTCACTTTACGATGACAGACTAGTGCTAAAAATGTTTTACATAAAGCAACCTTTATAAAATTTGTTTTTGTAGCTAGCATAAAATCCAAAAGCATCAGCAAATGCATATTTACACTATAAAATGTTCAATTGCATGTTTATATATGCAGCTTTCTTTTTAAAGACTGCTTATAATTGTGTTTATAAAGTCTGCTCATAATTGTGTTTATAAAGTCTGCTCATAGCTGTGTTTATAAAGTCTCCTTGCAGCTGTGTTTATAAAGTTTGCTCATACCTGTGTTTATAAAGTGTGTTTATAATGTCTACTTGCAGCTGTGTTTATAACTTTTTCTTGCTCTGTTTATAACTTTTTCTTGCTCTGTTTATAACATCTTCTTGCAGCTGTTTATAACTTATGCTTGTAGCTATGTTTAAAAATATTAGAATAGAATTCAACTTTATTTTCATTCCACTGTCACCAGTACAGAACAGCGAAATTAGATCTGTGCATTTAACCCATCCCCTTGGGGAGCAGTGGGCTGCCATTATGCTGCGCCCGGGGAGAATTGTGAGGGGATTGAACTCACAACCTCAGGATTCAAAGCCATTAATAATGGGGATTCACCCCATTATAGCACTGACTCCTTTCTGGTTAGCACAGTTTACTCATAAGCTTCATTTCAGTAACAAGACTATTAAAAGTGAGAAAATATAAAGGGAAAACACACAAGTACATTGCAGTGGCACAGTAGGAGAGATTAAAATAATAAAACCGATAATTAACTAAAGCAATAAAAAGGAAATGGTGATTAAAATGATAATACAGGGAAATTAAACTGAACTGCAAACTAAACCTACTAATGTTTAAATGGCGCATTCAAAGGGACTCAAAAAAGTAACTTGTTTCAAATATCCCTTGGTTCCACTGGAAGTGAAAAGAAAATCAAAAAGCAAAAGAAAAAAAACAAACTATTTGAATATGAACCTCGTAGGACTGTAGCCATTACCTAGAGGAACTGGAAAAACATACATCATAGGACACTACCTTGCACCAGCGTAGCAACTCTGCTCGTTTAGACACGGGTCACATCAAGGTTGCATCATCGCACTATAGTAGTAAACATGCAGGCTTTAAATAGAAAAATAAATCAGTACAGTGTTTGTTTTGCCAGTACTACCAGCATCTGTGTGCTCTCTTTTTCTAGTCAACCTACTCTGTTTTCTTTGGCTCTATCGTGGGTGATATCAAATATATACTTTTAATTAAATGTTCATATTTATTATGGTTGTCCATCAACTGTATGTACAGTTTTTTTATTTTTTTTTATTACCGTAAATAAAAGTCAAGAAAATGGGATCCAGTCTGCACAGTAGTCTGGATCTGTTTTATCAACGGACTTCCTGCCTGAATAATCTGCTCTGCACTGCAGTGGCGTGGAGTTAGAGCGGCAACCATAAAACAACCATCCGTTTGAGAGAAGCGGCCAGCGAGTATGTGAAGGACGCTTCAGAAATGCATTGCAGTGGACCTGGTGGAAACACTCAGACTATAGTTGCTGTAATTAGCTGCGACTGCCTGGTGGATCTAACCGCATACATGCCGAGGATTTAGGATCTCACTGGTTACGGTTTTCTGGGAGTTTATTCCAGATTAGTGGACCAAAAAACTAAAAGCTGCTTTGCCGTGTTGGGTTCTGGTTTTAGGTATTAGACAGATTTATTTTATGGTATGTAGGTATGTAGATTATTAACCCACCATACCCAGGAGGTCTGGGTGGTTAATAGACTGACAACAAATCTGTAATGTATTTTACATTTGAAAAAAACTATATCTTGAACAATGCCGTTAAAGCTGCCTTGGCGCTTTTTTAATTTGTGGTTTATTTTGAGGGCTTATTTCAAAGGGTGGAGCTGCTCTGCTCTCTTGATTAATGATCAAAAACCTCTCTACAAATGTAGACACCTAGGTATGTGTGTATGTATGCATATTTGACGATGTTATAATTGCTTTCTTTGAATTGCTAATTAGATTTGCTAATCTGTCCAGATTAACAGCAACCAGACCTACAGGAGGACCAGCATGTTTTAAAAAGTCATTCATTAGGGTGTCATTTAGGGAAACACCCTGATTGCCTTTAATATCGACTCCTGTAAAATTGGTTAACATAGGTTTAAATGTGGCTCTTTTCATTATCATTTAGATTTATAAACTGGGAAGAGACTTTGTAGTTTATTGCTTTAGTCAGTAAATCTGCAATGAGCTGTTGGGGGATTTACAACATCAGAAAGTATTCATTTTTTTTGCCCCTATCTGTCAGTCCCTGCTATAAACCTGAGCTATTTATATCATAAAAAACAATACCAACAATTCTTGTCAGTGAGATGGGAGTTATTGTCTAAATTACAGATAAAATGCCTTAAGTTGGGCAAGCATGTGATGAGCTGTTAACATCCATAAAATATCAGCTTCTCTGTAGCCTGAAAAACAAATCTCAGGGTAAAATGGAGCCTGGGCTGTGTATTTATCTATCTTGCAGGAAATACATGTTTTATTATTGAATCATTGTTTTTGTTTGTGTCCTTTAGGCTGCTTCAGTAAGGATCAGGTCTACCTGGATGGGATATTGCGGATTCTTAGACATCGAAGGAATATCGACTTTAAGATGTTGACGTCCTTAGGAAAGGTGAGGGAACATCAGCTTTGATTGTCTCACAGCAGAGATCCTGGAGCTCTCAGCGGCGGAAGCTGATATTCCTATAAAGGTCGGGTAGATGAACATATGAATGTAGCCCCACAGGACAGGTTTGTTATCTCTTTGTACAAAGTTCTACATGCTTTTTTTTATTTATGATGGCAACTTGTCCAACTTATCTGAAGCCTCAAAACCCTGCCTCCTGATACCACTTTTTATTAAACGATACTGGTGTTTACAACTGGTTCAAGATGAAAGGAAAAATAAAGAAAATAGGACCGAGCTGATGTAACTCCACAGCTACTCATTTTGCAGTTATTCTCTTCTTTGCAAAAACTTGAAGGTATCTCGTTTTAAGCCCTGGGTAGCGCCTGTAGGCATCCAAAACGGCTTTGTTTCGTTAGACAAACATTTTACTAACATTTTTTTTTTTTTTTTATCTTTTATTGTTGTTGGTATAAACACAAAAGGAAGGATTTTAGGTCAAGTGTTTGTCAGCTGAATAATCAACCAATCAATCTGCAAGGGCTTGTAATTTAGGCCACTCATAGAAAAGGACAGAAAATCTGTCCTTCAAAGCAAAGTGGGTTTGAAGGTTTATTTAATCCAGTATTGGTTTCCAAAGTGATTTTTCTAAATTTACAACCTGTCACCCTTTGGTTCTGCAGGTGTCTTTTGAAGACGTTGAGAGGCTCCGCCCTCATGCGGCGCTGAATCGAACCAGGATCCCGCACTTCATGCGTGATCAGGTGCGTTACCTGCAGCACCTGGACCACATTGTGGCAGTCAATGAGATAGACGATCCAACGCTGGAGCAGCTTCTTCCCTGATCAGGGTGTTGGTACAGACTTGTTTCATCTGGTGCCCTGATTCTTACTGAAATATCTGATCTTAATGACGCTTTATCTTAAAAATGTCACTGTTGCTTTTATAAAACTTGAATGATTTGAACACAAAAGGGAAGAACACACTGACACCTCTTTGTTTTCAATCTGATGCATGTTTGTGTTGCTTTTTCACACAGATCTGTGTACTTTAACTGCGCCCCCCCCCCCATGAAAATACCTCAGTATTATCACTATGTAACAACCATTATATATGTATGCTCACATAATCATAGCTGGCACGCTTTATTTATGCAATTGTTTGACCTTTTTTTACTTTGCAACAACTTGAATGTCATTGGTGTTAGCTTTATATTTTATCTTAAAAACAATGTATCTATGCCTTAGATTTTTTTCCATTTAAAAAAAAAGAACACCAAGGACACAACATTTAAAAACCATGGGGGGGCTTCGCAGTCACTGAGGCCAGGAATCTTAAAATTATGAAGGATTATCAAGTGCCACTGGACTCAGGCATTTAAATCCCCCCAGGGGTTTTATTTATCAGTGTTATTGTGAAGCTAATCAGCAGTGTTGTCTTAATGTGTCCTCGGTGGGCATTCAGTATGCTACTGTGATACGACCCGTCCTGGAGTTCCCCTGCTGCAACAGCCAGACTTTTGTTTGCCACACCGATGTAATGGTTCAACATTTGGGATCTTTGCAGAGCTTCTTGGTTGTTGTTTTTTTTAACCTCTTCTTGTTTTTAAGTAGAAGCCCTGGCAGAAGAAAATACTTTCAGTGAGGAAAATAAGTATTTTAAAACCCTGCTATTTTGCAAGTTTTCCAATCGTAGGTGCAAATCCACTGTGAGAGACATAATCTAAAAAAATAATAATAATAATCACTAGCTGTGGCAGTGTGTGCGTGAATGGGTGAATGACTGAATGTAGTGTGATGCACTTTTGTCAAGTCTGTCTCTGGCAAAGTGCTTTGAAAAAGCGCTGTATCAGTACAGCCCATTTACTGAAATTTTTCCTGTAGTTTTTTTTTTACCAGGTTTGCACATGCTACAGGGGGGATTTTGGCCCACTCCTCCACACTGATCTTCTCTAGACAAGTCAGGTTCCTGAGCTGTTGTTTAGAAACACGGAGTTTGAGCTCCCTCTAAAGATTCTCTATTGGGTTTAGGTCTGGAGACTGGCTAGGCCACACCAGAACCTTGATATGCTCTCCCAGAGTGTTACAAGACCCAGCCTCGACCCATCTTCAATGCTCTAAGGGAAGGAGGTTGTTCCCCAAAATCTCCCAATACACGGCCCTGGTCATCCTCTCCTTAATGCAGTGCAGTTGCCCTGTCCAAGGTACAGAAAAACAGCAAAGCATGATGCTACCACCCCCATGCTTCACAGTAGGGATGGTGTTCTTGGGATGATACACGTCATTCTTCTTCCTCCAAACACGGTTACTGGAATTATGATTAAACAGTTCTATTTTAGTCTCATCTGACCACATGACTTTCTCCCATGACTCCTCTGGATCATCCAAATGGTCATTGGCAAACTTAAGACGGGCCTTGACATGTGCTGGTTTAAGCAGGGGAACCTTCCATGCCATGCATGATTTCAAACCATGACGTCTTAGTGTAATGCCAACAATAACCTTGGAAACGGTGGTCCCAGCTCTTTTCAGGTCATTGACCAGCTGCTCCCGTGTAGTTCTGGGCTTTTTTTTTCACCCCTGTGAGGGAGATTGTCATATTTAGCTCCTTCCATTTTCTAATGATTGCTCCAACGGTGGATCTTTTTTCACCAAGCTGCTTGGTAATTTCCCAATAGCCCTTCCCAGCCTTTTGGAGGTTTACAATTTTGTCTTTGGACAGCTCTTTGGTCTTGTCCATGTTAGTAGTTGGATTCTCACTGATTGCATGGGGTGGCCAGGTGTCTTTATGCAGCTAACGACCTCAAACAGGTGCATTTAATTTAGGATAATAAATGGAGTGGAGGTGGACATTTTGAAGGCCGACTTAACAGGTCTGTGAGGGTCAGAATTCTAGCTCATAGACAGATGTTCAAATTCTTATTTGCAGCTGGATTATACAAATAAATATTTAAAAAAAATCATACATTGTGATTTCTGGATTCATTTTTAGATTATATCTCTCACAGTGTACATGCACCTACGATGACAATTTCAGACTCCTTCAAGATTTCTAAGTGGGAGAACTTGCAAAATAGCAGGGTGTCCAAAAACGTATTTTCCTCACTGTAGCAGCGTTCTTTAAAAGTTATTTATAATAGTTCCAAAACTTTTCTTACAAAAAAAAAATGGCTACCCAAAACTAACATTAAAAGCACTCACTTTAAGGAGAAAGGTACTCACAATTGAAATGATCTGTCTTTTCACCAAGATGATAGTCTTCAGGTAGAAGTACTGATTTCCAGTTAAGATTGAAACCAGCATCGTTAATCTGCAGTGAATGAAGGAAGCTTAAAGTTTCACGCTATATTACACTATTGTTGTCAAAACCTTGTCCATAGATCTTAAGCCACGCCTCTTTCTGGCTTTGAAAAGCCTCTTTCAACTAATAATTCACATATGGTGGGCAGAAAGGAAAAGATTTATACCATCCGCGATTCATTTTGCCCTGACTGAAATAAAATCTAAAAAAGGATATTCTATCAGATTCTGTTTTGTGGACAACGGTTTTCTCTTTATGATAGGTTGTCAGTATCTGTTGGTCCATATATGCTGATGTCCTCAATCCATGCATGGTACTTCAGATTCAGATTATGTTCAGATTACATGCTACTCTGAGACAGAAAGGTGGATTTCAAATCACCTGTTAATACAGATTTATCTTTTAAAATGTTCAAATCGGGTACATTAGAAATTTAAAATCATATCTACTCTCAGCTGAGAATATAAGACCTCTATAATAGCAAAGAACTCCCAAATATTGAACCAATGTTTTTGTTTTAGGTGAAATGCCAAAGTGGTATTTTAGGCGTTTTTAGGGCTTTTTGTGAAACAGCTGGGCACAGCTGCTCTTTGTAGCTCCTGATTCAGATGTTTTAGTTTTTAGGAGGAGGCCAGGTGCTGTTGGCGTGCCTTTGATGGGTGTAGAGCTCATCATCTGTAGCTATTAGTCTGTATGTTTGTAGGCTGCTTTCCACGTTGATGCTACAGATATCAGTCAGGGCATTCAGTTTGAGCCAAGCTTTCCGATCACATTGGTAGAACCGGGTCGAAGGCCTGGTTTTGAAATAAAGCCAGTCATCCAAAGGGGAGACTGATGCATTTTAAATACTCAGATTTGCTCTTTCAGATGCGATTGAAGTTTTCTCTGCTGTGTTTACAGTTTAAGTCACCTAAGCAGAAATATTTTAAATCTGAGCCCGATGTCCTCCTCAGGACTATGGCCCAGATTCTCCTAAACGAATGCATCAACCTGTATCACACTAATGTTGCACAAGTGTTTTTATGTTTTGGAAGTACATATTGAATTTCCAGTGTTATTTATTAAACACACGCACTTATTGAACCCTTTGGTCTGTGGTTTATTTAAGGGTATTAGATCACATAAATGATCATTTTTACCATTACCAAGCTCTTCCATTTGGATAGTTTGTTTTGGATCGGTGGTTTCTGGTCACAACACACTGAGACATTAGCAAAATGATTAAAAAAAACAATTAAGTCTCCTTTGAACATAATGGAATGTTTATAGGGTGAATGTCAGACTGGGAAGACGTCTTGCTATCCACAAGTTGTTTCTAGTTTCCTCCCACTTATTTCCCTGCTCAGTGAATGTTAATGTGAAGGGTCATGATTTGGACAGTAATCTAAAATAAGTTGGTGTGATTAGAACAAAATATAAATTTAGCTCATCTTATACTTACCGTTGTGAGGGCTACACTTTAAGGAAGTCACACAAAACAGGACTGGATGCCATTTAGATTGCTTTCATCAGGTAAAGTTTTAAGATGAAGATTTTACCTTCAGTTTATAGAGTACTGTGACTTTAAATCACTTTATTATTTTTTACTTAATTAACTGTCTTCACTATGTCTTCATCTTCTACACCAGAATGTGGGCTTTTTCTCTTACACTAAGAGTATGTAGACAAACAGAATCTATGTTATGCCTAAAAGGCCACAATACATAAAAACACATCTGGTCTTTTTACATCAAAATAGACACTGAAAAGCCAGTAGCAAACCAGTAAAAGGGTTTCCTAGACCTCAGAACCAACAAACTTAATAGATTAGTAGGGAAATGTATTTACTACATGAACACCGCTTGGATAGTTTGACATTAAATGACCTGCTTTTACTCAGAGTTGAGCTTCTGACTTGAAGACAAGTTTTATTAGACAGCCAAAAATCTTCTGGGTCTTGATGTTTTATTTTAACATGGTGATGAAAACACTGAGGAGGGGGAAGAAAACACCAACACATGCCTTTTAAATAAAAACTGTTTATTCTCTTTCAATATAACTTTTGTTCTATCATAGCAGAAAAGAGCCTCCACGTCAGTGCTAAAACCTGGAACTGGATCTCCGGCTGCCGCAACGATGAGGCTGGGTTCTGATCCGACGACAGTCACTGTTTAAAAACGGACGTCAGATCCGGTCAAATGGGACTGCATGTTCCCTTGGCTTTGATGGGAGAAGTTCAGTCCGTTTGTTGAGTTTGTGTGTGTAAGTGTGTGTGTGCTGCAAAAAACTGACATCTTGCTCCAGTATGGCTGTTGATGTGGAGGCAGAGGTTTCTGCCAAGAAAAGGTTGTAAGTTGAGGTAAAAAAAAAAAAAAAAAGATTTGTCCTAAATGTTTAAAAAAAAAAGAAAAAAAAAGAATTGTTAATGAGAAAAGTAGACAGGTCTGGGTCAGATTAATGCATAATACAGCACTGAAATTAAAAACAATCTTTAACAAGATATGCTGAATAAAAGCAGTCAGATCCTTTAACACTGCCTGGTGCCGTTTATAAATCTGGCTAAACAATATATTACTTCTGTTTGTATTTTATAAATGCAGATGTGGCTGGCCTTAAGAGCATGTCTTCAAACACCATACATTTTTTTAACAATGGGCCTCATGCAAGAAGTGTTTGCACAAACAAATTCATTCTTAAATCATTAGTACGAGTGATTTAGGAGCAAATGTCGCATTCACCATGTTTCTCCCATTTCTAATCGCTCTGGTATGAACAAATATGAATGCCCCAGATTTGACGCAAGAGTCTTGCGCAATCAGTCAGCTGTTATCCAAACCTAGTTTTTCACAAAATGACTACATTGTTATTTGGAAGCAATTATAAATGACATTTATATTCGCTGATGACAGAACTATCGGTCACTACAACTGTAGACGGCATATAGGTATCCAGGGGACTCTAGTTTCATTTGTTATTTGTGGGATCAAGCTGCTATTGAAATAACGTCTGGAACAGAAAAATATAAAGTTTAGAAAGGAGGTTAAGCAAGTGTTGCTGCTTCTAACAGTAAGAAATGCAATTATTTTAGTCCTTGGCAGCTCCTTGGCTTTGCTATTACACCAAATATGGAATCTCTACCGTTAACATAAAATGTTAAATTACATTTTATATCAATGCATTGTATGACAGATGGAGAGTATGCTGAAGGAATGATAGACGTCAGGAGATGTTCAGTATAGGTGTGCATTAAAAACAGATCTTGTTGAATGTTTTGTTGGTTAATGGCAAACTGAAGCATTTACATCGTATGTTGCACCTCTTACCACAATTTTCATAAAAGTTTTTAATTTTGACAATTTTCGGATCAAATTATTTTAATTTTTACTTCTACAGCGCATCCACTTCACTTACAGATCCTCAATCTTTGAACCCCTGGAGTTTTTCTGTTTTGTCTTTAAAGCCATTTCTATGAATGAAAACCTTCTGACCAGCATGGGAAGGTGTAGCCTTATTTGGCATTATTAGGGCGGGATTATGCAGATTTAAATTTTTCAGGAACAACTGCTCACTTATGCACAGGTGAATAAGGTTTCCGAGGATCATTTACAATCATTCGCTGAAATTAAAAATGTCTGATGTGTTTGCAAAAACCAGTGAAAGGAGAAAAAGTAACAGAAATTTATGACAAGAAAATAAAAATGTTGCATGAGGCACATTGTTTCTAAATCTAGCATTTTTCCTTTTCCTGTACATCTACAATTTTTAGCCCCACTCACTAACAGGAGTTATACAATGACCTAAGAGTAGCGTTACAAAACTAGTAGTTTGCGTTCCCTTTGAAATAACCTAAATAAAGGTTTTTTCTTGGAATGCGATCCTTTGCAGAAACATTGGCTTTTAAAACAAACCACTAATCTGGAAGCACTCTGTGGGCACCGCACTCCACGTTCAGAGGTTTTTTTATCCAAAGAGATTTGAGAAAAACTCTGTTCCCAATATTCTGAGCATTGAAAGGTGTCCACCTAACTAAAAAATTAAACCATAATTTAGATTTGCACTTCAAGCATATCTATCTCTGGAACAAGCAGGAACACCTGCATTCTCAAAGTTGACAAAGTTCTGTCTGTGAAACTATTTTCAAACTTCATTTGTAGTTCTTTTCCTCATGTTGATAGAACAAAAGTTTGTGTTTAGGTGGAGATAAAAGATTTACCTGCTGTCTGGTTATCATGTTGCATTGGAGCTGCTTATTGCCTTTGTGCCTTCAGTGTTGGCGTTTGCTTGTTCCTTCACCACTGGATCTGAGGAACAAACATGAGCCGTTTGATTCTCAATAACAGAAAACACAACAAGAGTAATTGGAGACAAGCAGATCCTGGAAACGTCAAATACATGGAAAATTCCTGGTAGCATAAGGATTGTGTCTGACAGGAGGCTGGGATCCAAGCTCTGGCATAACAGCAAAATAATTAATGGGAAAGACCGGAGGAGCTCTTATTTCAGGTCTTTCTGTAGAAGGGATTATCAGTTTACAGAGCTGCTCTTCTCTTTTGATCTTTAGAAATGTAAGGTTATTCCTAAAACTGGATGCGTTTCCCTGAAGCCTAATCTAAGATCTCTGAACTCCTACCCTGATGATGTCAGAGGAAGGTTTGAGTTGAAATACTGAGAAAACCATTTGATCCGTTTACTTCAGTGTTCACAGTTCACTTAGTGAAAGGAGACAAGACAACATAAAGAAGACTCTCTGAGTCAGGATCTCATGTAAACGTGTTGCTGGTACTGACAGAAGTATGGATGCCTCATAGCTTCAGTGGCCGTCAGCCTTTGCTGGTGGTCGTAGCGCAGCAGCTTGTCCAGCAGGTCGAGGGCTTCCGGACTCACCAGGTGCTGGTTCTCTGACTGGATGAACTGCTCCCAACGCTTCCGGGATTGCCTAAAAACATGGAGACTGCATCATGGGTTTGTTTACAAAGGAGTTCAGTGCGTGGGTTCTGGCTGGCTTTAGTGACATGAAATAACAGAGAATGACTGAGCATTTAGCAGTTATCTACTTTCAATGGGAAACAAAGCTGGAAAAATAAATTAGATGAGCTGCACTTTAGTCGCATGTATTTTGAAAAACCCTTAAACAACCCTTTTTAAATGCTCTTTAATTTCAGCATTCACTCCAATCTGTAGCTGTCTGCATGCACCACATCTTTTCATAGTTTCACCACCACACATTCTTTCTCCAGGTTTAGGGGAATTTATGCTAGATTTGAATGTTTTCTTGACAATGGTCAAATATGCGGGCTGCTCAGTGCACTGCTGCCTTGCAGCAAGAAGGTTCCGGGTTCAATTCCTGGCCCAGGGTCTTTCTGCATGGAGTTTGCATGTTCTACCTGAGAATGTGTGGGTTCTCTCCGGGTACTCCGGCTTCCTCCCAAAAACATGAATGTTAGGTTAATTGGCTTCTCTAAATTCTCCTTAGGTGCGAGTGTGTGCGAGGATGGTTGTTTGTCCTGTTTGTCTCTGTGTTGCCCTGCGATAGACTGGCGACCTGTCCACGGTGTACCCCGCCTCTTGCCAGTAGATAGAAGTAGATAGGCACCAGCACCCGTCATGACCTCATATGGGATTAAGCATGACGGAAAATGGAAGGATGGATGGTTACAAATGGAACCCTTTTTCCTGCAGCTCCTTTAGTGCTGCTGTCAGCCATCCAAACAGGCTTTGAATAGTCTTTTAAAATGATTATTTAACAGTTTTTGACCTGTCGTGTGCTCACTCTGACTGATACCTGGATTTTTTTTGTTGCTGAATTACATTACAACTCTGCAGGACATTTCACTTTAAAAAGATGGAAAATTACCAGTTCCACACTGTCTTCCACGGATTTAAATCTGCAGTTCAGCAAGCTCTAACTGCATTGTTCTAGTTCCCTTAACCTAATTTCAGTCTTAAACACCACCTGCTAAGCTCTCAGCAGCTACACAATGACATAAACACCCTCAGCAGTTTGGTGATTGAAACACCACACTGAGCAGGTGAACAGGAATGAGAGCCCAGTCTTAATCACACATATTAAACACAATTAAATAAAACACTGATGTTTTGTTAGGAATTATTTTATTTTTTATTGAATTTTCTTTTTTTAACCTAGTTATCCAGTTTTGTTGGTGGTGTCTTCTTACTATAATTAAATATCAATCCTTTTTTCACCGTTTTTTCATTGATTGCTGTTGTTTTTAAAATATGTTGATCATATTTTTGTATTATGTTGTATGGAGGTTTGCCAAATAAAATATGTCACAAGTTTTTATGTCCTATATCCTTTTCATTTTTAGTGCTAATACTCTTTCAATTCTTGACAAGTCCAAAATCTGTGTGCTTAATCTCAGTCCATAGAACATGTTTGTGTTTTGGACACCAATTTCCACAGAATGATTATAACCATTTTTTTTTCTCTTCACAACCTAAGCACGTTCTCCCTTCAGTTCTCTTTTAAAATTTCCCCCTGATTAGAAAGTCTTTTTCTCTGTCTCTAGTTTCCATATATGAAGAACTGCATTTCATATTTAATAGCAGTTTTGGTTTTATTGATTTACCAAGAAATCTGTGTACAGTTAAATTTCTTAGGTCTATGTATTTCATGCCAATTCGATTTAAAAATATTTTTCTGTACATAAAACCCTATATCTGGCTCCTCCCCTCCTATTCTAACTCCTTTTGCATCGCCTTATCAAATCACAATAGCTTATGGTACATTGTGCTGGAGAAGATTCTCAGTCATCCAGGCCATAGCCCTTCCAAAAAAAGTTAAAAAAATAAATAAATAAATAATCCACTGGACTTTGTTTCCAAGTTTTAAGGCAATTCGCTTCCCATCCAGGAAGCTTTTCACAATTCAAAATGCAAGAAATACACATTGAGTTTGAGGCTTTATAATGATGCATTAAACAATGCAAAGGAACTTTAGGAGAGTATTGAACCCCTTTTCAGATGAATGTATCCCATCAGTTACCATTTATTTCAATATTTACCATTGGTTTTAATATATTTACGGATTTAATACTGAAATATTTTGTTGTTAAATCCAAGTGTTTAAATAATTCTTAGAGGAATATCTAATTTATTTTTTATTACTTAAAAGGCTTTTATTAACTGTCCTTTAATCTTTCCCTATAATGTGTACACTTGTCCTTTAGCTTTTCTAAATAAATCCCATCTGAACCTCTTCAATCACATTCTACATGAAATGTTCTAATCTCTCAGCTGCTTATGGTCCACATTTAACATTAATATTTGATTACTTCAGATTAGCATGTAAAATAAAATATCCAACATCTAACATGCATAAGTTTTTTTTGTATAAAATGTCAAATAAGTAGCTTAA